TTCCTTCCTTCCTTCCTTACTTCCTTCCTTCCTTCCTTCCTTCCTCAAACTGTTTTGCAACTCTTTTTCTTTCCTTTTGCTTCTCTCCTCTTTCACCAGGGGCAGCCCTGCTTTCCCACCTCTACCCCACCCTTGCAGCAAGTCAAGGCTCCTTCTGGAACCTCAAAAATGTCAAGGCTTTGATGCTTGAGGGTTTTTTAAAACATCTTTTTAAATCTTTTTTAACAAGCTTCCAATTAGCTGTTCTGGGGTCCTTTGTTTTGTATCTAGTTCATTGGCCACAGATTGCTGTGTTGGTCCAAAACAAAGTGCAAGTGACAGTGGCCCAACCAGACCCGTCTTAAAACCCTGTGCAGGGTTTTGAGCTTGCCAGAACTCTGTCATGCTGGATGTTTTTTAAAAAAATCTGAATTTGTTGTCGAAGGCTGAATTGGCTGCCTGTGGTGGCCTTGAGCCTTTTTAAAACTGCAGAGCAGCCTGAATCAGTCTTGGGGCACGTCTAGTTTGGCATTCTGCTGCTTCCCGTTGATCTGATGTTATGTTAAATAAATGTTATGTTCCCGTTGATCTGTTGTTCCTTGCTTAGGTTGATCCAGGGCCAGCCGTGGGGCAGTTAAGAACCTGGGAGGGAGTGATCAGGGGGAACCGGAGGAGAGGAATTTACGACAAGTGGCCAAATCAGGGATTATGTGTCATGAATTGCCTGAGATGAAGAATTGGAAGCCTGCTGTTTTTCCTTTCCAGCTTTTTAAAACCTCCTTGAGCAAAAGGGCTCTTCACCAAAGGCAGCTGGGCAAAATCGTCCCATGAGCCATGCAGTTAGGGCTTTCCCAGTCCTGGGCTTAACTGGCAGGATTGCAGCTGCACACAACTGTGCTCTCCAAATTGTGACTTTATTCACATGCTGTACTGCTGTGCATCCAATATATTTGTGTGTGTGTGTGTGTGTGCACGCGCGCGCTTCCAGGCTGCTCTGGGAGTGCAGGGAGAGCAGCAGTGTGCCGTGCCCGTCTGCACAGACTGTTTCTGTTTCTTGTCTACCAGGCCGAAAGCACCCCCAGTTTGCTCCCAGTTGCTATGACTGGCTTATCCCTGGGGTGACCATGTTCCAAACAGGGTGCATTTGTCCTAAAAATCCCGAAGAAGGCAGGTGTTTCAGAGATGCAGTACACCCCATTAGAGTGGGGAAAAGGGGAGGGAGAGGTGGAGAGCCTTGGCTGAATTTTGCTCATTTTTAATTCTGAAAAGAAGCAAGAAGCTCTGCCTTTTGGGGGTGTTCCCTGTTTCCAGGGTGCAGTCTGCAGTCCCCCTACACTCTACTCTAAGCTTCTTTGCTGTAACTCTGCCCATAAATCTTCTTACAGGTCTCTGGCTCAGTGTGTGAAATAACCACTTTGCCGCCATTTCTGTCCCTGTGGGTCCTAGTGGCCTCATCCCATGTTATAAAGTCTGCTCGTATCAACACATGTGTTTCTGGGAGCCATGTGCTAAAACTCTAATTCCCAAGCCCGCTTCAGATCCCGCTGTGCTGTTTTCCCAAACTGAAATGGCCCTCTTTACCCACTGGAGGAAACTTGGGTGGATCTGAGCCATCGCATTGGTGCAGATAGATTTCTCTAATGGGGAGATCCATGGGACTGTTTCAAGTCAAGAAAATGGCCAGGGAGGAGGCTTATATCCCCTCTCCTCATGCACTACAGCCCCAATACAACCCAACAGCACAGATCTTCCAGAGCACATCTGTTGATGGAGCTGTTGATTTGGCCCCTGCCTTTCTTCCACCTTAGACACCAGGGTACCCTTCCCCCCCCAAACCACTGCCAGCATAAACAGGTGTGCATTTGGGTGTGTTTAAAGGGCCTTCTGTTGCTTAGCATTGTCTCTAACGTTATGTCCTCAGTTCCCACTCATCCCCTTTTTTGTTTCCTTTTCATGCTGCTTCTCACCAGAGAGGAGAACCAGTAGGTGTAGCCGTGTGTGAAAGAGCAAGGAGGAAAATATAACAGGCTGTGTCTGGAACAAGGAAAATGTATCACCTTTTCTTAGCTCTGCTCTTTAGTGGTGCTATTTCTTCAGAGCCTGGAGAGGGCCAGTCCAGTGGCAACGTGTGGTTATGTTTTTCTTGGGCTCATATACCTTTCAACTACAGGGGTGCAAATTTGGATGTTTCTGCGAGGGGGAGAATGACCTTCCTTGCACACAGAGAAATAAGATGTTGGGGCGCAGAGAAATACTAGACTGAATTCCATAACACGCTAATTGTCTATGTGCAGGGAATTTTGGGGTGGAGAAATACTGAGATTTCCCCCCCCCCACAACTTAGAGTAGTAAAGTCCAGCAAAAGGTTTTCCTGCTCAATGCATTTTTGGGCTTATCTCTGGGGATTCCACTTCACTCACCCTTCCTTCATCCCCTCTGGCTGTTTCCTAGTGGAGGAATGTTTTTCTACAAAACTCTGTTAATTTTCGCAAAAAGCAACTCGTTTCACTAATAGGCTGTCTTGTTTTCCCTGAAGCAATGGATGTTCCCAAGGGCAGAGATGGAGAGTAGACATTGGCTGTCCAGACTTAGCCAGTTTCTGTACCCTCTGAGCGCCTGCCTCCCTGTTACACTTGGCACATGGAAGCATCCCTCCTGTGTAGAAGAACTCTGGCAGCAAGAATCCTGAAGCTTCCCAATCAAAGGGGCCAAGAGAGATGGGTGGGATAGAAAGCTATTTAGAAAAGTCTTTCTGTCTTGCACCTTGCCTATTCCATTCTCAAGGTGGTTTTTGACAGACACAGAAAACAAAATAAAGTATTAAAAAACAAATCAAAACCCCCCAGGATTGTTACTGTTTATTGGAAGACCAATCTATAGCCCTAAAGATATTAAAACAAGAATCTAATCGCCAAGGCAGACAAGAAAAAAAGACCATCATGTTAAAACAGCAGTGTCACAACGTTTTAAGTATTTAATGGTAGGAAGAAATAATTAAAAGCTATACAAGCAGCAAGTAAAATCTGTGGGAGCATT